ATATGATGCTAATACATTCCCTAGGCGTAAACACTTTTGAACCCAAATTTAGTTTCAAAGATTATTTATATTAAAAGTTTTTTCAATGTTTTTCTTTAATAAACTTTGGTAGCGACTCCCTATCATCACTGTCCTATCGTGCCCCTGTTGCGACAATAATAAAAATTTATTATTATGAATAATAAAATTATTTTATTTTAATTTATAAATAATATTAATTATAATATCTATATAATATATTTTAACTTTTTTTAGTTATTTTAATTAAAAAATATCGATCCAGGATACAAAATATTGCTGGTAATAAAAATTTAAAGGGAAAAAATTGTCAATTAGTGTGATTTTACTTTATTTGATTCAAATTAATTTAACAATTATTATTATATTTAATGGAAAATTACTTTAATATAAAAATTATAGGCAAAAATGTATTAATATATTTTTAGATTAAACCCTCATTTTAGTCCTTAAGAGATTTTGAGTCCAATATTTTAGTCCCTAAGAAATTAAAAATGTTACGTTAGTCTCCAACTTCCATTTCTGTCATTTAGTCAAGCACTTGAACACAAACTTCGTTAATAGTTACAGAAAGCTGACATGTCACATTAAGTGCCATGTCAGAAGCCTAGTTGACTGAAATGGTGCCGTTTTGAGGGGTTTTGGAAGTAAATGTGTCAAAATAGTTGTAATTGGATCTGGGTTCATTCTTGGTAACGATGAAGTTAGGGTTACCTCCTAATTTAGAGATTTTTTATTCCGATTGTTTAATTTCATTAAAAACCCCCTTAGACACTTGGTTTCTATGATTTGTAATAAAGCTTTGTTCTAGCGTGAAAAAATTGTAACTTTCTTATTTTTCCCTTCTCTGTAACAAGATTTGTTTGAAATTTGTAATAAAGAAAGTTTCTTTTTAGTTTGGTGATTAAAGTTGTGATGGAGGAAGAGGGTTCAAATGCAATGAACCTTGATTTGAATATGGTTCCAGGCACAAAGCTACCAATGGCAAGTTTCCAACATAGAACCTTCTAGCATTGTTTGAGTTTGAAACCCTTTGCTCTTCCTCTTGTTGTGGTCTAGGCAACGAAAGGTGGGTGAAGACAGTGAAGTGGGAGAAAGGAAAGACTGGAACTTTGGTACTTAATGTTTAGGTTGAGAAGTTTCTGAGATACGAGTCTTTAGGGAAGTTATTGGTGAGTGAAATGGAAGAGTGGGTGAAAGAGAAGTTATAGATTCTATTGCAGATAGAAGAGGAAACAAAAGTTGTAGTAGCCACACACACATAAAGAGAGAGAGAGAAGGTTGTGGTTTCATAATTAAGAAGTGAATGTAATTAGGGGCACTGTTCAATTTCTACCAACGAAACCATTTTTGCCAATTACAAGTGTTTTGCCACGTTCACTTTCATAACCACTCAAAATGATTTCATTTTAGTTAGGGATAGGAATGAGTCAGGTTGCCCATTGGGGACCTATGGCCTAGCCTATTTAAGGCCTAACCTAACTCTGTTCGTTTATTAAAAAGGTCAAGCTTAGACTTTTGAAAAGACTTATTTAAATAAAGAGGTCAAGCATAAGCTTTAAAAAAAGCCTTTCAGGCCTATTGGGCCGGCCTAATTAAATAATTATATTATTTTATAATTTTTATTTATTTATTTATTTGTAACAATTTAATATAAATATAATTTCCAAAAAAGTTATATATATATATATATAAAATACATAATGTATAACATAATTTAGTATTTATATTTTAATAATATATTATTGTAAAAAAAATTATTAATTAAAATTTTATACATATTAATACATATACGTATATATATAATATAATTTAGTATTTAATCTATAATAATATAATAATTATAATTATACTATTAGAGTACCAAAATTAAAACGTCGTAAAAAAAATATCAATTAAAAGTTTCTCATTTCTAAAATATTTTAATCCATTATTAGAATTCATTCTTTTCTAATTTCTATTTTAGTCTTTTTAATTCAAATATTTTTTAACTTTTTAACCCTAATATAGTTTTCTATTATAATTCTTTAAAGTCATAACTGTATAAACCAAAAACAAAAGTTGTCTTTGACAATTATTTGTTGGGCTCTACATTATAATCTCACTTTTTTTATATATATAATAAACACCTTAATTATTAGCTTGGTATTTGAAATTACATAATATAGACACGTTACCTTTTGCATTATTTGAGATATGAAATTTTGTAAAGTTATTGAATATGATCATATTTGTAAAACCATTTAAGTATATGTTTTTTTTTTCTAAACATAGTATTTAAATATAATTATTTATCATATATTTTTCATTTTATTAACAATAGGTCTTTCGGCTTGTTAACCCATTGGCTACTATCTCATTGGCTTACTAGCCCATTAAATTTAAATTAGTGTTATTTGAAGGCCTTAATGTTAAATAAGATACTAAATGAACTATTGGATCATGTCTACAAATTTGGTCTATGTCAAGTTAGGCTCTAGTTTTGTATAGTAGGTTAGGCCTAACCCGGCTTAACCCATTTATATTTCTAGTCTCAGTCAATTGGACTTTTGACATAATACTTAACGACATGTCATTTTGTTACTGATTGTTAACGGAATCTGTGTTTAAGGACTAAATAAATGATAGAGATAGAAGTTAGAAACTAATGTAACATTCTTAATTTTTGAGAGACTAAAATGTTAGATTCAAAATCTCTATAAAATTAAAATGAGAGTTTATTCTATATTTTTATTTTAATTATTATTTAAGAAAAACAAAAGCATGGTAACGAGTATCAAGAAGATGTGGAGCAATCTCGTTCAGCCTAACAAGACAATTGTGCCAATTATGCCAACACAACTCCTTGAGAGGTCCATCACATCAACCCTCCTTCGCCAACAAGCTTTGCCCATTAATCGAAAGGTCCTTTCTCATAAAAGCAAAATGAGAGTTCTTTTTAACATTAAATATTTTTGTACTTTCTGACTTATTAATTTTTGTTTTCTTTCAGCCACAGATATCGAACCAATTGAACATTTCATCAGCCAGCTAGCGTTTGCCATGCTTGCCTTGGACTTTTAGTCTTTTACCATGTTATTTTATCAGCCTTTAGCCTTTGTTGCTTTCTTTTCTTTACTCAAATTAGACAACATCGTTGACCCTTAACACCACTGAAATAGGTGGAAACTTGTGGATGAGGCATGACATCAAAGACTAATGAGGAATCATTTGCCTTATATACACTTTCACAATTTGAAGTTTAATACATTCTTTTAAAACATATTTTTTTATATGCTTATGTGTTTAGGGAGTCATACTGTCATCTTTTAAAATGTTATAAGCCAACTATATTCTTTTAAACTTTCTTAACTATATATCTTAAGTCTAATTAGTTTTGTGAGCATAAAGAAAATGTCGCGGCACTAATCTCAAACTCTTTTTTTTTTTTTTTCTGGTTTATCGATTACAATTTATTATTTTAAATCATTTTAATCCATAGAATCATACAACTATCAAGATATTAATATAAATTGTTGATTTAACAATTGATCAAAATATGCTTAAAAGAGAAATTCCAGTAATACACTCTTTAATACACTTTTAATTATTGCTTAAAATTTATTAAAAAATTAAAAGATTTATATGAGTTTCATTTTTTACTTTGAATTTAATATTTTTTTTTATAATTTTATAAATTTCAATAAATTTTAATTAATAATTAAAAATGTGTTAAAAAGAATATGTTAGTGAAGTTCTGCTGCTAGTTTTATATCACATATTATATCCACTAGTTAGTGATAAAATTGATTAAAATATAAATTTTATTTATTTATTGTTTAGTATTATTTATTTCTTATGATAATCTTAACAAGTCTATAGCAATTTGATATTAAATGCTTTATCTTTTCTTAATATACGAAACAACTACCAGTATATATTATTATATTTTAACATGCAAAAATTTGTTATATATTACATTATCAAAATTGATATAAATAAAAAAATTATGTATAAAGACTAACAGAGATTAGTCCGAGTGGTAAGGAGTTCAATATCACTTAAGTAAGGTCACAAATCTAGATTAAATTGGATAAAAAAAATTATAGAAAATTAAATATTTTAAACTAAAAATTATAATTTGCAATGAAATATTTAATAAACTATGCACCTCAATCCATATATTTTATCATGATCTTACTAAAAGTAGTAACTTTTATATATATGTTGTAACATATGAATATTTTTTCTAGCACAATGAATACAAGTATCAAACAATTATTAAACTATAATTACTGAGGGATTGAATAAATATATAGATAGTTAATTTGATGAAACTTTTTAAAAAATACTCAACTATTCAGTCAGTTATTAATATAATGAAATAATTTTATAATGAATAGTTTAATATTTATAAAATTAGTTCATTCATAAATTTATAAGACAATGTAGAATATATAGAGTTCATTTGATGAAACAATTTAACAAATATTCAGCTATTCAGTCAGTTAATAATATGATGAAATATTTTTACAATCGATGATTTAATATTTATAAAATTAGCTCATTCATAAATTTAATATTAAATTATCTTCAATAATAACACAGTTGCAAAAACTCAATTTTTTAATAAGAAATATGTAGATTACACGTATTCTTTGTGATAGATAATTGTTTGAAATAGATAAGAGTATTATGGGTAATAAGAATATCCCTCTAAATATATATTATTTAATGCAAAGTGTTCTGATTTAATAATTCAAAAGTTTCATACTATTCCATCAACATGTGGTTAGAGTCGTGATGTGGTTTGGGCATCATGATGTGGTTTGTTATGGAAGATAGCGTACTGGAAATGCAATTATGGGACTCATGCTCTTTATGCTTTTCTATGGTTCATATGAGGCTAAATTATACTTCATCTTCATGTATATATAGCTAACAACAAGGCAAAGCCAAAGCCATAAGAGTGCAAAGTTCAAATCCTAGTGGTTTGCTCAGACATGAGATCTCTTATATTTGTGTTTCTTCTCTTTCTTGTTTTTCATGTGATCTTTGCTAAAGGAAGCAATAGTGATGAAATAAGGTTTGATCAGAATTACAAGGTCGTATGGGGTGGCAATCATGTTTTACCCTTAAACCAAGGGAAAGAAATTCAGCTTTCGTTGGATAACTCTTCAGGTTAGAATTAATGGACTAGAAATGCATCATCTTTCACGTTATCTTCTTAATCATATGTTTTACTCTACAAATGTCTGTTGTACTTTTACATATACTTTTCCTTTGCTATAATTGAATATATACACGTTTATTTATTTTTTATTTCATTTCAGCATGCGTGCGTGTTATGCACTAACTCACACATAATAAAACATTAGGCTTAAATAAAACTTTAGTTTCTAAAACTTTCGTGACATTTTCATTTTATTTTTTTTCAATGTTTTTAATCTAGTCTCTCAAATTTTTTTTATTTATATCTAATTTCTTTATTAGTAATTTGTTAATTTCTTTGGTTGTTTATTTATATAACATTCAGTTGACTTTTATAATTTAACTAAAATTAGAAAAATGGAAAACTTAAAATACATCTATCCGCCCTTATAATTTATAAATTAAATCCTCATTAATATCAAAATTTTAAAATATATTAAACAGTAATATTTATTATTCTCTTTATTCATTTTTCTTTATAATTTTTCTCAAATTTAAAATTACTCATAGAATACTTGCTAGTACTAGAAATTAACGTTGCATGTCATTAAATTAATCTTCTGATCATTTATTTTTTTTTTGCGTAAATAGTATCCTAAAATGCCAAAATCTCATTCCATTAGCTTTTTTTCTTTTGTGAACCAAACTCATGACACGGAATAATCAATTTAATAATTGATTTTTTATCTTCTCAAATACTTAATTTAATGATAAAAGTATTTTAAAAAAGAATTAAAATAATTGCATAATATTATTTAAAAAATTAATTTGAAGATTTGCATCATAAATAAAAGTATGGCTAGCTAGCTTTGATGGTTTGTCTTGTAGCCTGCACATAATGGGTAAAGCGTAAACTTTATATTACTTTCCTTTAGCACCAAACAAACTTGGGTCTGATCGCATTGTATCAACTCGTGAAGTTACGTGCATGAAGACAACTTGATTACATATACGATGGAAGTTGACTGGTTTCTAGATTTAGAGAGTGATCAGAAGAATTTATGCAAATAATTTATGATTTTTATAACTTTTTATTTTAATTTATTTTAATAATTTTTTTATTAACTCAACAAAATAACATTTTTTAATTTGTTCAAACAAATTTTATGGTATAAAATCTCATGTAATATAGTTTTTAATTGGATAAACACTTAATTAATATACTTTTACACATCCTAAAATGATTACAGTGTAAAAAATTGATACTAACAAAATAAAGAAATTTTGTCATGGATTTAGATGGGTTGAATGCTAGAGAAAATATTTAGAACTATTTATATATTTTTGTTTATGTTATTTACAAATAATTTAATTTAATATTAGTGTATATTTTTATATTTTATTTTAGATTAGTTTAGTTCATCAGTCCAAATGCCAACACCAATGTCAATTCTTAACTTGGATTTTGAACGTTTATTTTAACTTCTCTTTTTTTGTTAGGCTTCACTTTTGTGAATCGTCTAGCAACATCACCAAGGTGAATCAGAGGCTTCACTTCACTGACGTTCATTACGCATAATAAAAAATTAAGTTTAGAAAAAAAAAAAAAAAACAGTTTCGTCTATCTAATATATAAAATTTAATAAATTTGTGCCACGTATCTTAATTTTTAGTTTATTTCTTCGATAGATGAAATTTAATTAAAAAATAATTAAAAAATTTATCTTTTGTGTAAATAAAATTTATAATAATGTGATAAAAAGACTTAAACAAAAAAATTGTTTTAAAAAAGTATTATTTTAATAATGTGTTTTTTTTAAAATATTAAAAAAATACAAAAGCCCCCACGCGGGTACATCCTAATAGGAATTACAATTTCAATTATACCTTCAAAATAAATTAAAGAGTACATGCATGAAGACATGACGTAGTTGAAATGTCAATATCTTACCAAACATCCACTGGTGCTTAATGCAAAAATCAGTTATCTTTTAAGTTGCTAGGATTTCCATTACGCTAATAATTAAAACAAACAAGGGTTTGATAACGTGGCTTTTTCTTTATTATTTGTCCAAACAAGAAATGATGATTTCGTAAACTCACTACTTATCTGTATGTAACTTTAGTTGTTATTTACCAAACTATAGTAATTATTCATTTTTCAACTGTCGTGCCATTTTTAAAATTGTTTAAAGAATGCCAATTACATTAATCTTTTTGAACTTCTATATATGTATCTCAAATAAACAATTTTATTTTTCCCTTTACTTTATTTATATTCTTAGGCATTGGCATTTTTTTTTAATATCACACATATCTCTCCTATTGCTATGTACGGATTATATGTATAATATCGTTAAAAATAACAAAAGTAAGAAATGTTAATATAAATTTTCAATCAAGAATGATGTAAAAGTAATTAACACTCAACTCAAGTAAAATTGATGTAATTATCCCATAAAGAAATTATATACCTGAAAGATTCCAAAATTTTGGGAGAACTGATTAGAAAGTTAATTATGTATTGGTAAATTACTTGACATAATATATATGACATTGCTTGTTTTTTCTTTTCTAATTTAAATTAAATTGAATCTGAATGATAAGGATCTGGCTTTGGATCCAAGATGACCTACGGTTCTGGATTCTTTCATATGAGGATCAAAGTACCAGGTAGAGATTCTGCAGGAGTTGTCACAGCTTATTACGTGAGTTCTTTTTGGCCATGAATTTGATAATCCAGAAGAAACCCAAAGATCTATGTGATTTAAGGAGAGAAATTTTTCTTAATGGATACAATATTATTGATTCGTTGTTTATTTTGATGCAGCTGACTTCACAAGGAAACAAGCACGACGAATTGGATTTTGAATTTTTAGGCAATAGAGAAGGGAAACCATACATATTACAAACTAATGTATTTGTAGATGGTAATGGGAATCGAGAACAAAGGATTCACCTTTGGTTTGACCCTACGCTGAATTTTCACGACTACAAAATTCTTTGGAACAAACAACAAATTGTGTAAGATCAAGTTTCCTTGTGACTCTAGATTTCCTTTGGTATGGTAGTGGTGTGTGTGTGTCTATATATATATATATATATATATATATACACTTACGCAATCTGACATTTATTCAATAGCTATATCATACGGTTTAATATATGGAATTTAATTACTACAATAATTTTCAAAAGTTTATTTTGATAATGTTTATCGTGAAACGTTGAAGTAGGTAAAAAGATATTTATAAAAAATGTATTTTGCATAAATCTTTTTAAAAAATGTATAAGAGCTTCATATATTTTTTAAAATAAAAGTCAAAAAATAAAAATAATTGAACTTATCTACTCCTATATTATAAATTTGAAGCATCCTTATTGAATGAAAGCATTTTTAAGGAATTCTTTTTATTAAGTTATATAACTTCTCTTGCATTAATTATTTAATTTATTTTAAATACAATTTCTTAAATATTTCAATTTCAATTTGATTTAAATTTTAAAAATTAACATACTATATATCAAAATGAATATATTTTTATTTCTAAGCAAATTCAATTTTAAGATTATTTTTATTTATAAATTTTGAATATTGACTCACCATATTAAAATAAATGGCGTGTCTTGATTTTAATAATTTATTTCTATAATTTTATCCTCAATTTTAAAAATATAACTTCTTTAATTCAATTTTTTTAGTAGATTTTTTTATTAATAATAATTTGTTTCTATTTTATTGTTATTTATAAATTCACAGTGCAATGGGTAAAAAACATAGTATTTAATATTTACATTGACATTGTTTTGTGAGTTATAGGGATATATTTTACGAGAAAACAAGAATCTAATTTATTTTACACAGACTCAATAATTGACGTAATTAATAAACGATTGAGTAAAACTTAGGTAACTAAAATGTTCATTTAATTTAGGCCACTAAATAAATGGTTATGAATAAAAACTAGGCATAAAAATGAATGGAGCTTGTAATTGATTTCTTTTTTCTTTTCATATAGTTAGGTAGTTTGAGCCATGCATGAAATGCGATTTGATACCAACCCCTTAGCATCAACCAAAGAAAATTTTCCTAGCTGAGCTAACCAACACTTTTTAATGATCCTACTGAGTTTTGTGATGCATTTTAATTTATTTTCCTAGCCATATAATTTCATGATCTAATCAAACATTTGGGTCAACAGATTTTATGTTGATAACGTTCCCATTAGGGTTTTCAAGAACAAAACTAATATTGGAGTGGACTATCCATCAAAGCCTATGCAAATACAAGTATCTTTGTGGCATGCGGATTGGGCAACGGATGGAGGCCAAACCAAAACCAATTGGAGTTATCAACCATTCAAAGCAAACTTTCAAGGATTTGATGTTAGCGGCTGTCAAACTCAAAGCTCAAGTGATCAACGTTGTGTTTCCGACAACTATTGGTGGAATAGCCAAAAGTTCTGGCAATTGGATCCTACCAAGCAAAGACAATATGAAATTATAAAGCAAAAGTACACAACCTATGACTATTGTACGGATAGAAAAAGGTATCCAACCCCACCCTTGGAGTGCCCTCAGTGAAATAATTGGATACAATATCTACTATAAAACATGAAATCAAATGTGGACAATTAATAATAAAAAAAAAGGCTACTGCTTGGGAATTCGCAACTGCTGAGACAAAAATAAGATTCAGTAATAAATGTATTTTAGTGCCAGGAATTGTTTGACGAAATGTAAACGAAGAATCATTGTGAAATTTGCTTACAAATTTTAAATTGTAGTTATAGTTGATAGTCACATTAAGTGGCGAAAGAGTTAAAAATTTGAGTTTTTAACTGATGTTTATTTGATCCGAAAAAGCATTAAAAAAACCATTTCCATTTTAACAAAAAATATTGGTCCATAGGAAATTATAAGTCTACTTTTACGTTGAAAAAACTTAATTCGAGAACTGACATAAAGAATGCTAGCAGACATATTTTTTATTATTGATTTAAATTTATAAAAAAATATTAATTTAAGAATAAAAAAATGTAAATTTTACTTAATTTTTATATTTTTTATAAATTTTTAATAACAATAAAAAATATATTACTAATATTCCTCGTAATATAATACTAATATAAATTATAAATTTTATCATATAATTATATATTACAAAATTATTTGTATAATACTTTGTGAATCGAGATATCTTGGTCACTCCAAATCCCGAACAACATCTTCCTTCAAAATACCCAACCTACCTTCTGAACAAAAAGAAGCTTCTAGGTCTTCACCATATGACTTATTTCAGTTTCCTTTAAAATAACACAAAAATAATAAAAAATTCCAAAGGGATCGAGTCAATTTCCAAATTGAAATTTGCAAAGGTAACATTTGGCTTAGATATCAAGCGTCTAACATTAGAGGTGAAGAATCATTTGAATTCTTATTTGTTTGAATATTTGGAAGGTGAGTGAAGGAAATTGTTTGAAGAAAATAAAAAAAAAGGTGCAGAGAGGTTAAACTTTTTTTTTATTTAAATGTTTAATATTAAAAAAATAATGAGAGTTTAATTATATAAATAATATTATTAATTTTTATTCATATTTTTTAAAAAAATATAAAAAATTAAATATTTTTTTATTTTTTATAATTTTATAAAAGATTTATCACTTTAACAATAAATGTATTTTAAAAAATAAAATTATAATCATCTATAATTATGAAAGAGTGAGAGAAAAAAACTTAAAAATAGAGAAATTCAAAACAATAACGTTAAAAATTTTGGAATTAAAAAAGTTTAGCCTTTTTTTAATTAATTAATTTTTAAATAAGAGTTAAATCTTATTAACTCATTTCTTCTTTTTTCTCTCTGTAGTTAACTTATTTTTTGTGTAATTATTTTTAATTTAGTCTATATATTTTGTGAATTAATTTATTCAAATTGCTTTTATAATCATGATAATAGTAAGTAAACTATAGTGAAGCAGCAAAAATTAAAATATTTTTCTATTTTAGCTTTTATTCTATTTTATTATTGTTATTCTTGAAATCATTATAGTTGTTTAGATGTAAATACTATTTAATTTAAAAATTTATATTGTCTTTTTATTGTATATTGATAAAATTTATTTTCTTCAAATATAATAATTATAAAATAATAAATAAAAGATTAAATTGACAAATTTATTATAATATTGTAAATTAAAAAATAATTTATTATTTTATAGTAAATCTGAAACAATTTCTCAATCTGGGATTTTTTTTATATCTATTTCGCCACAAAAAAAATGAAACATGACTTCTTAGAGCGATTGATTTAAAACCGCTCTCATAAGTCTATTTTAGAGAGCGGTTCAAAAGCAACCGCTCTCATAACTCCATTTTAGAGAGCGGTTCCTTGAGAACCGCTCTCCTAACTCTATTTTAGAGAGCGGTTACATTTGAACTGCTCTCAGACGTGCATATTAGAGAGCGGTCCTTCGGAACCGCTCTCTTAGATTTAAAATGAACGGCTGGGGAGATTTTGATACACGTGGCAACATCTGAGATGATTCGCGCTGCTACTGGCGAAAGTTTATTAAAGATTAGTAAAAAAGAATTTAAAATTTAAATAGTTTTGTATTTATTTATATATAGATTAATATGTTTTTAGAAAAAATGAAATGTGATATAGTTAATTAAAATATAAAATTATAATTAATTGTTAAGAAGATAGGTTAAATTAAGATTTATAAAATTTGTTTACAGGAATTATTATAGATATTTATTAAAATACAGAATAATAAAAATTGAGTTAAATAAAATAATTATATAAAACTAAATATCTTAGTTTGATTGTAATAAATAATATTTACACTTATATTGAAGTAAAATTTTAAAATTGTATTTATATAAAATTTATGTAGATTTAAATTAGAAATATAAAAAAATAAAAATGTAATTTAATTTTAGGCAGTAAGTAGAGTTTTGTATTTAAATAAAATTTGTATGTAAATAATAATATTTTTTACTTTAAAAAACATAATAGTATTTATATAATTATAAATTAAATGTAACTTATGTAGATTTAAATTGGAAATATGAAAATATTAAAATGAGTTATGAGAGCGGTTCCTTTTGAACCGCTCTCTAAAATAGACTACTAAGAGCGGTTCCTTGTAAACCGCTCTCTAAAATGGAGTTATGAGAGCGGTTCCTTTTGAATCGCTCTCTATAATAGACTACTGAGAGCGGTTCCAAAGGAATCGCTTTCTAAAATAGACTTATGAGAGCGATTTTAAATTAACCGTTCTAAGAAGTTATGTTTCATTTTTTTTGTGGCGAAATAGATATTAAAAAATTTAAAAATTATTACTTTCGCCAGCCGTTTGGCAAAAATTTGATCCACGTGGCAAAAAAACCCCAGATTGAGAAATTGTTTCAGATTTGCTATAAAATAATAAATTGTTTTTTAATTTACAATATTATAATAAATTTGCCAGAATTTTTATCACTAAGAGGAAATATGCAACATATATTTTGAAGAAATTTAAGATGGAGGTTTACAAACCAATATTGACACAATTGAAGAAAGATTGAAGCTTAGAAGAAAGTAGTGATGATCTTGTCAATTCAACAAATTTTAGAATATTAGTGGAAAGTCCCAAGTACTTGATACTTGACATAGTTTATGGAGTTGGGCTCATAAGCATGTTTATGGAATCATTGATACAATCTTATTGACAAGCTACAATAAGAATCTTAAAGCATGTCAAAGGTATAATTGATGAAAATATCTTTTATTCAAGTTCTAATAAGGTAGAGTTGATTGGATACATAGACAATGATTTAGCTAGTGAAACTAAAACTTGAAAAAGTACTTCGAGTTATGTTTTGTATCTTGGTACAGAAGTATTTTCTTGCTTCTTCAAGAAACAACAAGTAATTGCTTTATCAACAACAAAGGAAAAGTACATTGCTGCAACAAATTATGCTAATCATGCAATTTGGTTATAAAAAATATTAAGTGAGTAGTAACACCAACAAAATAGTCTAACAAAGATATTAATAATAATAAATCAATAATTATTTTGACAAAGATCCAATCTTTCATAGTTATAATAAACACATTAATATTAAGTATCACTACATTCATAACTTAATCAAAGGAAAATAAATTATGATACAGAGTTGCACTTCAAAAAATCAAGTAATAGATATTTTTACAACATCGCTCAAAAACTAATTTGTTCTTAAAGTTGAAGAATATGCTCAAAATGATAAAGACAAGTTTAAGAGAAAATGTTAGAAAATTAAAGTTGACTATATTATGATAGAAAGTGCTTGAATATTTTTCAAAAAATGATTCGCGTAGTCAAATGGTTATAATAAATTCATAATGAATTGCTAGTTATTTCCTTGTAATTATAATTTGGTATACTAGCTATAAAAAACTAGAACCATGATTGATTTGAAAAGTAAAAATATTAATTGTTAATTAATTGGTTCAAGTTGGTTTGTCGGAGCAAATAACCGACATACTAGTAGTATAAATAGAAAAGATTGTTGTTAGTTCTCCTGTACTTATTGTGAAAAAAGAAAACAAAAACAAAAACTTCAAGTTTTTAATCTTAATGTTGTGTATTTTATTAAATTTGCCATTAACAAAGTTAAGTTTATAGTATATTATTTCTTTAATAGAAAAATAGTGTTTAAAATTATTTTTTAGTGTTTATATTTTTTTTATATATATATATATAAGAAAAAAAAAATTTATATTAGTGTAAGTTTAAAAACTCTTACATTCAATTTGAGCTTTTTATTTAACATAAATCTAACGGTACAAAGACATGTAATTAGTTATAAAAGGAAGGTTGAACACTTCTATTGTAAGGATATTAGATAGGAAAACTGAAACTTCATATTTTGTGAAATCAGAGCATTATTATATTGCATCTTAAAGAAATCTTCCCAATCTCCATTCAAATCATTTAAAGGTGAACGATCGGTTGTATTTATATAATCACAAGCATTAAATCATGCCATTACACATTTTGATGACAATACAATCTCACTAACCTAGAGGTTTCAAATCACCAGAACTTTCATACCAAATATCAAGAAATTATCCTAATAATTTATTAATTTTCATAATTCTTGCAAATATTAATGATGTACAGGAAACTACGGAATATGCTGATGTGTATAAGATCTTGTGTTCATGAATAAAAGTTAAAGCTCACATTTACCATTCTACACCTAATGCAAGAATATACTAAAATTAAGAAAGAACATTGTTTCATGCCAAGTATAACAGGAATATCTTTGAACAATATGACAATTTTCACTATTAAGGTTTGTTCATTAATAAATTTGTCTAAATCATTATATTAGACTCATTTAATTCATGATTTGATAGCCCAATTCATAATTGATAAGTTTGATTAAGTTAAGACAACTTTTTACTTCTGGATTCTCAAATAAAAAAACTTTTTTTTTGCCTTGGACAATTTGGTAGACCTTTTTTTATAAATTATATTTATTATCATACTTGTTTTTCATCCTGAAGTGGTTAGAGTCGTAATATAGTTTGACTATCATGATTTAATTCGTTATGTAGACTAAGATTCTCCCTGCAGTTAATGTATTTTTTATTTTCACTTAAGTAATTTTTTTTCCTTAAGCAAAAGTGTAAAAAAACACTAAGTACATGGTACAGTTAGTGTCAAAAAATGAGAAAATCTTAATATTGAGGATAAGCAAAATATAATTATGGGACAATTAAATGCACTTGATACTTTTCGGTTTATATGAAGATAAAGTATACTCCATTGTGTATATATAGGTGAACAATTAGGCCAACAAAATAGCCAAAGCCATAAAAGATTGTAAAGTTTAAAACCTAGTTATGATTTTCTCATATTTGAGATACCTCAATGTTTTTCTTCTCTTCCTCATTGGTTGTAATTTTCTTGCTCGAGGAAGTACTAGTGGAGAAATAAGCTATGATCAAAATTACGCAGTCATATATGGTGGAAGTCATTTTGTACCCTTAAATCAAGGAAAAGAAATTCAACTCATATTGGACAACACTTCAGGTAATAATGTGTCATGTTCATTGTATTTCTTCATCAACTTTTACTCTACAAATTAAGGCATCTAGTTCTCGACTTTTAAATCCCGTTTATTTATGGGTTTCTTTTGCCATAACTAAAAATAAACATGTTATTTATTTAACAGCATATGCTTGTTGCATGTATAAAAAGCAATATATCTATATATATATATATAAAAGTAAGGTGACAAAGATTCAAGCCTTACATATGAAAGGATTCTCCACTGAGAGAACTAAACTATCAAACTATGGATATTCATAACCTGAGCATAATTACCCGTTAGAAAAGACATGTATAATCTAAACTAAAATGATAAAAAAAAAAAACATATTTACTCATTTATTATAATGTTAATACTTATTTTTGAATATAAATATTGTAAGATTAAATTTCAACAATTAAACTTAATAAATCTAACTTAAAACATATTTAAAATTTGGAAATGACATCACAGTTAAAAAATATTTACTTTATTGATTTTCTTGAAGTTAACACTAATTACATTTATATTTTATCTTAATTATATATATATATATATATATATATATATATATATATATATTTGCTACTACAATTAAATTTGGGGCAGCTAATTAGAAAGTTGCATATTGGTAAATTAATTACTTGACATCATATAACATATATAGCTTTTCTTTTTCAAATTTAAACTTTATTTTATTTGAATAATTAGGAGCTGGCTTTGGATCCAAGATGAAGTACGGCTCTGGATACTTCCACATGAGGATGAAAGTACCAGGTGGAGATACTACAGGAGTTGCCACAGCTTACTATGTGAGATTTTGACTTTGAATTTATAATCAAGAAAAAAACTCATCCATAGAGAATATTTTTTCAATATTATTTACTTTGGTGCAGTTGACTTCACATGGAAATAAGCATAATGAGTTAGACTTTGAATTTATGGGCGATACAGAAGGGATGCCATATAAATTACAGACCAATATATTTATAGATGATATTGGAGACAGAGAACAAAGAATTCACCTTTGGTTTGATCCTATAGCAGATATTCACGACTACGTAATTCTTTGGAACCAACATCAAATTGTGTAAGATATAGATGTGTCCTGTGACTTTTGACATGGTTCTCTTTGTACTATAAAGATAAAATTATAGTATCGTTTAACATTTATTCAATAGCTGTATCATCTGCTTAATTGGGTCACATATAAATCTTATGTAGGACCAGCCCTATGCTAAATAATAATATTGGCCTTCATTTTGACCTCCCATTTTTTTCAAGATATTTTTTAAAAATATTTTGAAAAATTCATAATTACTTAGTAAATAATAATATTCTCTTACTATGAGTAATTAAATATTTTACTTAAGTCACTAAATATTTGTTTATGAATGAAAGTTAACCATAAAAATTAACGGAGCTTCTATTGATTTCTCGTTTTCATATTTAGTTAGTTGAACCATGAAATGGACCAAACCCCTAAAATCAACAAAAGATGATTTTGTTAGTTGAAAACAACTTTTAATGACTTTATATTAGGGAATACATATTAATTTATTTCTATAACCATGAGATTTCATTATCTAATCAAATATTTTCTTGGCAGATTTTATGTCGACAATATTCCCATTAGGATTTACAAGAACAAAACCAATATTGGAGTTCCCTACCCATCAAAGCCTATGAAAATAGAAGCAACTTTGTGGCATGGAGAGTGGGCAATTGAAGGAAAGCGTAAAACCAATTGGAGTTATGCACCATTCAAAGCAAACTATCAAGGATTTGGTGTTAGCGGCTGTGAAGTTCAAAGCTTAAATGATCAACATTGTGTTTCTGATAGCTATTGGTGGAATGGCGAAAAGTTCTGGCAATTGGATTCTGTCCAACAAAAGCAATATGAAAGTGTAAATCAAAAGTATATAGTTTATGATTATTGTACTGATAGGAGAAAGCATCCTACAACTCCCCTGGACTGCACACTGAATTAGAATAAAATTAGAAGCTCTACAATAATGTCTAGGATATAAATATGATTTCTTGATAAATATATTTAGTGCTATGTATTGTTTACTGAAATTTGAATTGTGAAATCATTTCCAAGTTTGTTTACAAATTTTAAATTTTGCATGAAGTTGACTAGAATAGTCTAAAACAAGTTAAACAGAGTTTATTGGACAATATTACGAAATTAATTTTCTTGTTGAATTTAAGAAGGTTTTAAGTTATTCATTCAATCCATTTGTACCAAACCAAATTCACCTATCAACTGAAATTCTAACTCAAGAAATCCCAAGTTCTTTCACTTAAATAATATTAATTTATGTTTATTTTCTTGATAAGTGGATGTAATGTGATAGCGTTAGAGTACTCCTTGTACTCCCATACTAAATTTTTGCTTATAATTTTTTTTATTAGGTTTTTATTACCCTTTAAAAGTAATTTTGAAAATGACTCTCAAGTTATAAACAACTTTGTGGCCATTAAGAAATATGATAATAATTACACACCATTATCAATTGTCATGATATTTTAGTCAATAAAAAATTAGCTTTACTTAAGATTTGTGTCAAATACATAAAAGATTATATAACTAATAATTTATTAACATGATCACAAGCTTAAGTGCGTAAATGTTGTAGATACACATCTTAACAAATTATTGGTCTATCAATATAACTTCATCCATTTTTTTAATTAAAGTTGTCATCCTTTCAACTTTTGAATTTCTACGCGAATATCCATACCTTGTGTAAGAGAATACCAGTGATTTAATGGATTTAGTATCTTGATTTTACTCTTGCACAAGAATAACCAGTATATTTCATTCTTCCTGATTTTACTCTTGCCAAACAAGTTGTTATGAGAATGACTTGCACAATAATAAGAAGAACAGTAAGTTCAGGTACTTGGCACAATTGTGCTTCCATTTGAAAAAAAAGAATACAAAGCATTAATGTTAATGTTTTCAACATAAGGCTTTTAAACATAAATAAATTAAAAAATAAGATATTATACATATCGGTTAAAACCTGTTTACAAAAATATCTTGATATCTTGATTTCATATTATTTGGGATAAAGAAAATTTTCTAAGTTAAAAATCATCTCGAAGGAAACTACATTTCAACAAGTTTTGAGGGTCAAGAAGGAGGTAAAGATAAACCTGAACATAAGAGAATATTGGAAGATCTTTAGTTTTAATTAAAAGGAACACATTTCGAGCTATTTTTAGAGATTTTTGTCACATTGTTGATTTTTCTCTAAACTGCTTGAAAGACAAGAAAATATTCTAAGACCACAAAACTAAAGGCTTTTTCGAGGAGTTTTGAGGAGTTTTTAAGTCCCTGACACCCAAAATTGCTCGAAAAACAGGACTAACAGGAAAATATTCTAAGTCCACAAAAAACTGATGGCTTTTCGAGGAATATTTGATGAGTTTCCAAGTACTTGACACCCAAAACTGCTCGAAAAGCAGGAAGTGGTAAGAAAATATTCTAAGTCCACAAGCTTGGCTGAGCTCCAGATTTCCTCCAGAATTGCTCGAAAAACAGAAATGAGCAAAAAAAATGTTCTAAGTCCACAAGACCAAAACAGACTCTCAAAACTCCAGAATGGCTCGAAAAGAGAATTCAAGAAGAAACTATTCCAAGGCCATAACATTAAAAGAGTTTCCTAGGTTTCTCTCAGAAATACTCGAAAGATAGGAGTATTGAAAAATCCAAAAGTGGTTACCAGTAGTTATCAACATTCACCACTACGCAAAGGAGATCATGGGCGATAGCGGTTACAGCCCCAACAAACAGCACGATCACAAGCAATCGTGGATAGTGAGCATCAACAGTTGAAGGCAGTTACTAAGAAGTGTCCGCAAAAGGAGGAAAACAATGGTGATCTTCATGTCTATAAATACTACAAAGCATTATTTCACAAAGGACGACTTTTTGCACCTAGACACTGCACCTAAACACTCTGAGACGCTGAAACCCTGCACCGCGCCAGACACCAGCTACAAGGAGACCCACGGTGGCCGTTGTTCGCCGTTGTGAGGAGTCGTACGTTTACATTCCAGCACCTTTACATTCCCGCATTTACCTTTCTGCATTTTAATTTCAGCGCTTGTTGCTTGTATCTTTGTACACTGTTTGTTTCCTGTTTACTACATTTTTGTAAAAGCATCTACGTTTGATTTAATTCTGCACATTTATTATTCACTATTCTTGCTTAATACTCTTTTACGCTGTTAATTTGAGCATCACGTTAACAACACACTTAAAAGAACCCAAAGAGGACCTAAATCCAGTCCTCAGATTGATCTTTGGATTATTTGTTTATAACTGTCATTTTTCACCGTAAACAAATTGGCACGCCCGGTGGGACATATTGTGTGTTTTGAATGATTGATTGCTTTGTTGCATGATATTACGTAACAGACATTGTATTATGGCTAATAGAGGAAGAAATAGTGATTCTAGTTCTGGGAATGGCAATTCCAGAAGTGATGGTAGTGATACTAACCCAGAAAATGTAAGCGGCAGTACTACTACTGCCGCACAACCCACACCAACGACGGCGTTACCTACGCCGTCATCTCCCATAGTTAGCCAATTTATGGTTACTATGCCGCCAACTAATCCCAGCATAAACCCTGGCCCAAGGCCAAGGCTGGGTGATCACCCATTTGGCTTACCTCCCGTGTGTATGCCTCCTATCTTTGGAGTATCAACCTACTCCAACCCTGTGGTGACAACCGTGTCACCCCAGAGTCACACCATTCCACCAGGAATGGGTGTACTCCATACTATTCCACCGGGAATGGGTACGATTGGTGGAGTACCTGAAACGTAATTTGCGTTTGGAGCTTTGAGTGGGGATTCACTTCCTACTAGCTCGTTTTCGAATGTTGCCTTACATTACATGAGGCAACAAATGGATGAAAACAATCACGAGATGGTCAATATGCTGACTCATCAAATGACCACTGTGTTGAATCCCATAGTGGAAACGACTAATACCAGCTATCAAATTTTGGCTGAACAAATGCGTCGAATTGCTGAAGTTTTTGGGGCACCTCGAGTCCCTATAAGGCAAGGGCAAAATGTTGCCTAAACATCTAATCAAGATGCTACAAATCTTGGTCGAAATGGTCAAATTTTCGAGCAAAATAGACCAAATTTTGGTCCAAATCTTCCGAGACAAAATGAGCGAAATTTTCAGGTAGACCAACCCCTAGTTTTTGCTCGAAATCCAAATGCTCCATTTGAGCAAATTGGTCGAAATCTCGACCAAAACCTTCTGAGACAAAATGAGGGTGATTTCCATGGAAATCAACCCTTTATTATTGCTCGAAATCAGGATGCTGATGAAATACTTGAGCAAGTTAGGCAAAATAATGTGGGGGGGCATCAAATTCAATATCCAAACAACCCGAATCCTCAAAATATTGCCAATGTAGTCGAACAAGTCCTGAATCAACATGGGTTCGACGTAGGGTATGCTAATAGACCCTACTTTGTCTCAGCATTCTCTGAGGCAATTTTGCAGGCTGAACTGCCTCGGGGCTGGAAAGTCCCAAAATTCACTAAATTTGCCGGAGATTCCGGTGAATCTACAGTAGAACATATAACTAGATACGCCATAGAATGTGGAGATTTAGCTCGAAATGAAGATTTAAAGTTAAAGTACTTTCCTAGTTCTTTGACTAAGGGGGCCTTTACCTGGTTCACAACCTTACCCCCGAATTCAATTCATAATTGGAATCAATTAGAAAGAAGGTTTCATGAACAATTCTTTCGTGGTGAAGCGAAAGTTAGCTTAATGGATCTGGTTAATATAAAAAGAATACATCATGAATCCATTGATGATTATCTAAGTAGATTTTGACAAATGAGGTCGAGATGTTTTACTCAAATTCCAGAATATGAACTAGTCCAAATGGCTATAGGCGGATTAGAGTACTCGATTAGAAAGAAATTGATTAATCAGCAGTTAAGAGACATGTCGCAGTTAGCGACGAGAGTGAGGCAAATCGAGCAACTTAAGGCTGAAAAATTTGTCCCTAAGAAAATAGAGAAATTTCCTCGAAAAGACAAAGTGGCTTACATAGGTCTCGCTGAAGGAGAAATAGGAAGCGAGAATGATCTCGATGAAAAAGATGTCGATTTAGGGGTAAATGAGGTAAATGTAGCTGAATTAAAACCAGGACCCCTTTATGTTTGCCAGTCTTTAAAACCACTCGAAATTAAGGACAAAACTCGACCTAATAAGAGTTATGCCTTTGATGTATCTAAAGCTGATCATATTTTCGACATTTTATTGAAAGATGGGCAAATTATATTATCTGATGATCATAAAATCCCTACTGTAGAACAAAGAAAGGGTCGAAAATATTGTAAGTTTCATCATGTTTATGGTCATTGGACTAATAACTGTGTTCGTTTCAGGGATCTTATTCAGGATGCCGTTAAGCAAGGACGATTAAAATTCGAGCAAAAAACCAAAATGCCGATGAAAATCGATTCTGATCCCATGCAAATAGAAGCTAATTTCGTGGAACCTATCGACATACTGATGGTCGATGTTGCTGAACAACAGGGGTCATTCGACCGAGCTGTAGAAGAGTTAGAAGGAAAAGGCTCTTTGAATGACACCCTCGAAGCCTTCGAGAAGGAAGAAGCTGAAATCTTCCCAAAGGCTGGTGACTCGCTGCTGGACTTTCTAACTCGAAAGAAGGAAGCAGACAGTGAGGTCATGCTGTGCCCGAGGTGCAGCGCCGTTTTCGATAAAGCGGCGGCTAAAGCCTTCGAACAATCAGAGATGAAGAAACACTATCAGGTAACCACCAACCAGGTGATCACCAAGAACAAAGGGATCCAGACCCAGAATGCCTCTATCACCATACGGGATCCCCAGACTGTTCAAAGCAGGACCTTTGTACCTGCTCAAAACGTTCCGAGCAACACATGGGTTCGAAACGTGCTACACCCATCATTAACTCGACCAAAATTGCAGATGGTCGAAAAGGGCGGACCGTCACATTCGATGGTCATGCCACAACAAGTTTTCTCACAACCCAAGTTTTTCACTCAAACTGGGTTCCAGAATTCATCCGGGAGCCATTTTTAGTCGAAAAAGCCCTATTTTAAGGCTCCTATGACTAAAACTCAGTGGCGAAGGGCTCAAAGAATCAGGAAGGCTGAGCATGAAGCACAAGCCTTGGCTCAAGCTCAAGCTCAAGTCCAGGCACAAGCTCAAGCTCGAATCCAAGCCCAAATTTGAGCTAAAAATAAAGTCCAACAAGCCCAGGGAAATGCCACCAGAAATATGCGGTGTACCCCGGTTAGTGTCGAAGTCAAAACGACTCAAGAGAGGGCACCAGCAATGAAGAAAGACTTGAAGATGAAGAGTCCAGAAATCGAGTACGATGTGGATGATGAATTGATCACCGATGTATTCGAATCAGGCTTTGAAGATGATCTCGAGGACATACATGGGGTTGTATCCATGCTGCCTGCTGAATATGCCGAAGGAATCGGCGAAGGAGATGAAGAAGACTTCTATGCCGATGACGAACCCGATAATAACCCATGGGGTTATTGTTATTTGGCAGAGGACGGTTCACTTGCTAAATCGTCGGCTGTTTTCGAGAAGCCGACACGTGAAATGAAGAGTCATATGAAGCCGCTATACATTGCGGCTCGAATTGACAAAAAATTTCGAGTGAACAAAGTCCTCGTGGATTCTGGGGCAGCTATCAATATTATGCCCAGTTTTTTACTGAAAAAGATTGGGAAATCTGAAGAGGATTTGCTCCCACACAACTTGGTACTAACGGACTATGAAGGGAAATCTTCAAGTTCCAAAGGGGCCCTAATCGTCAACTTGAGGGTTGGATCTGTTTCTCGAGCAACCATCTTCGTAGTGGTAGCTTCTAAGGCAAGTTATAATCTATTGCTCGGGAGAGAATGGATTCATGGGGTTGGGGCAGTACCTTCGTCACTGCATCAGAAACTATGTCTTTGGAATAACAACGGAGTGTTGGAATACGTCGATGGAGATCAGAGCTATTTTAAGGCTGAAGTTCATGTAAGCAGTCTCGATAGCAAGACATTCGACAAATCTTTTGCCAACATTGCGCCACTCCGTATAGAAGATATAGGCGGCCCTCATTTTGGCCGAAATCCTCTCCTGCCAAATGCTCGCAAAATTCGACACCAGATTCGCCTAGACCCTTCGGTGGGTTTTTACGGCTTCCAAGAAATAGTGGAGGCCGAAAAGAATGGAAATGAAGAGCCTTGAAAAGAGCCTTTTGGCTCGAATTTCGGCTTACGTAGCCGAAAATAAAATAAAAGCGGCTCTTGAAGCCGGGGATACTTCGGAGGCCGATAAATTTAGTTCAGCCATAAAATCACAAAAAATAGAAGAAATCTCGGCCCATAAAGCCGTAGACCCAATCCAAGGCCATGCAGATATCAACATGGTCGAAAGTTCGGTTCATCTAGCCGAAAGAAGAGAAGCGGCACGAAAAATGGCTGAAGGATTGGAGGTCGATTCACCATATTCGGCCATTACGACAAATTCGGCTTATCTAGCCGAACAAAGGCACACAGAACTCGAAACATGTGTGATTCAAGAAGAATCGGTTCTAGAGACCGAAGGCAACGATGTCTGGCTTGATTGCATCTACGATGATGCACCGATTAGCTTCGAGAAAGATTCAGCTCGAAAAGGGCCAAAAATGGAGGCACAAGATCCCTTAGAAGAAGTAAACCTTGGAGATGAGAAGGAGCCGTGGTTAACTTTCATCAGTAAATTGGTCGACGAAGAAGTGAAAGACCAATTAATCAAGCTACTAAGAGAATTTAAGGATTGCTTCGCCTGGGATTATGACCAGATGCCAGGCCTTTTGAGGGAATTAGTCGAACATTGACTCCCAATTCGACCTGAAAAGAGGCCAATAAAGCAACCACCTAGGAAATTTGCGCCAGAGATTTTGCCAAAATCAAGGAAGATCTCGAAAGGCTCCTTAGAGCAAAGTTTATTCGTACAGCCAGGTATGTTGACTGGATCTCGAACATAGTACCTGTGATTAAGAAAAATGGATCTCTTAGAGTTTGCATTGATTTTTGAAATCTAAATACTGCTACACCAAAAGATGAATACCCTATGCCAATAGCCGATATGTTAGTAGATTCGGCAGCAGGTAATGAAATTTTAAGTTTGTTAGATGGATATTCAGGGTACAACCAAATTTTTATCGCTGAAGAGGATATATCAAAAATAACTTTTCGATGCCCTGGGGCTTTAGGAACTTATGAATGGGTAGTAATGCCATTCGGATTAAAAAATGTTGGAGCTACATACCAGAGGGCAATGAACACTATTTTTCATGACATAATAGGAAAATTTTTGCAAGTTTATATTGATGATATTGTCGTGAAATCTAAGTATAAAAGTGACCATGTTGGTCATCTTCGACAAGCATTTGAAAGAATGCAAAATATGGCTTGAAGATGAATCCTCTAAAGTGTGCTTTTGGTGTTATTGCAGGACAGTTCCTTGGATTTATTGTTCACCAAAAAGGAATTGAAATCGACAAGAATAAGGCCAAAGCAATATCTGAGACACAAGCCCCTTCGACTAAAAAACAACTGCAATCGTTGCTAGGGAAAATAAATTTTCTACGAAGATTCATTTCCAACCTTTCTGGCAAGGTTAAAATCTTCTCACCCCTATTGAAGTTAAAGAAAGAAGAAGAGTTTCGATGGGAGGTAGAGCATCAAGCTGTTTTCGAGGAGATAAAGCAATATCTGACAAAACCACCAATAATGGTTCCGCCAAAGAAAGGTTTTCCCTTGAAGTTATATATCTCGACATCAGAAGAAACTATTGGGAGCATGCTAGCTCAAGAAGACGAAAATGGTGTCGAAAGAGCTGTTTATTATCTTAGTCGAATGTTGATAGGTGCAGAATCTCGATATAGTCCAATCGAGAAATTATGTTTGTGTCTATATTTTTCTTGTGAGAAATTGAAATATTATATTAGGCCTTTTGATGTACATGTTTATTCACGTCACGATATAATAAAATATTTCTTGTCGAAACCTATCCTTCATGGTAGAGTTGGAAAATGGGCGTTGGCTTTAACAGAGTATTCTCTAATTTATAAACCACTAAAATCTGTAAAAGGCCAAGTTGTTGCTAATTTCGTTGTTGATCATTCGATTCCAATCAAAGAAGTAGATTTTATAAGTCTAAAATCATGGAAATTGTACTTCGATGGATCTAGTCATAGAAATGGAATTGGAATCGGAATACTGATAATTTCACCAGACGAAATCCCAACGAAATTACTCTTCGAGATAAAATCAGCTTGTTCAAACAATGAAGCTGAGTACAAAGCATTATTAGCTGGACTTGAAATACTGTTAAATTTCGGGGCAAGAAATGTAATCATTCGAGGAGACTCTGAGTTAGTAATAAAGCAGCTAACCAAAGAATATAAATGTTTAAGTAGAAACCTCGTCGAATATTGGGTAAAAGTGAATAAGTTATTACAAAAATTTGACGAAGTCATTCTAGAACATATTCCTCGAAACAAAAATCAAGAGGCCAATGAATTAGCCCAAATTGCCTCGAAATATAGAATTTCGAGTGAAAACCTGGCAAAATTAACAGAGATAAGGGAGAAGTTAGGGTCAACAAACCTTGAGATCTTAAACATAAATGACTTAACTGACCAAGATTGGAGAAAACCTTTAGTCAATTATCTCAAGGACCCCAATATTCCAATTGATCGAAAAACAAAATTTTGAGCAGTTAACTATACAATTGTGGTTGACGAATTGTATAAAAGGGGTGTTGATGGCACTTTACTTCGATGT